ATACTTTTTAACCACATATTTATCAAAAAATGGAAATTACATGCAACCAGAATTTAAGAGATTACAATTCAAAAATCAGATTTAAAGTTTATTTATACAAAGACTTGTGGTGTATGGTGTGTGGTGTGTAAACGGGCACTGATGCGGATAGACATGTCGGCGTATGGGGTCGGCGGTGCCTAGACTTGTGGTGCGTGAGGGAGAGGGGTATGGTTGATTGGAGGAATCTATTAGGGTTTGGGATCGAAGCGACGATGCTATTGTATTTTTCTATTACAATGTTTTTTACTTGGTTTTAGATCGTTGGTAACCTGGCCACTCCATGCGGTAGTTCTTATATTGGCTGTGGTAGTGGGGTGGTGGCAATATTGGTGGTTCGATGAGTTGGTGGTGGTCGTGGTGCAGTGTAATGGTTGCTGCGAAGCCATAGTGATGGTTATGATGTTGGCTACAGTGGTAACGTGGTGGTGGTGTTGGTGGAAATCATGGCGATAGCGTGGCCATGGTCATGGAGGGAAGGGGATGGCGTGGGGGTGTTTGTGACCAATTAATTTATTGATTATGATCAATAATTGGTTAAATTGTGATCAATAAATAATATGTGACCTAAAAAATGTGATTGTGAGTTACAATTTATTAAATTGTGATTGGGAAATAACTCATGATCAATTAATTTGATAATTTGCAATCGTTAAATAATTTGTGAAATAAAATTTTTGATTTGTGACCGATAAATAAATTGTGACCTATAAAATTTTTGATTTGTGACATATGATCTTATGAATAAATTATGACCTATAATTTTTTATTCGTGGTCGTGAAATAATTTGTGACCTATAAAAATATTTATCTGTAACCGAAAAATAATTTATGACCAATTAAATTGACAATTTGCATAAAATTTTGACCTTAATATATTTAATTAATAAAATATATATTTAATTAATATCCGATTTTTGAAATTTTAAACATTGTTTCTTGATTTTGAAAAATGTCATACTTAATCTATTAAATATGAAATTTTCCCTTCTAAAAAATCACTATTACAATACCCATTTTTGTAGAAAATTGGCTCAAATAGGGGCTCTGTTTGAGCCCATTTTTCGTTAAAATAAATTTTGTAATAGTGACTTTTTAAAGAGCATATTATTAAAAAGCAGTGTTCTAAAAAGTGAGTTAAAGCACCGCATAGACGCAAGGCGTGAACAAAACACCAAACCACTGGTAAGTGTAAAATTAAACGATAAACTTGACAGTTGATCTCTTAATGTGCGACTTTATTAATTTTTTTCCTTCTTTTTTTTTTAAAGTCTTTTATTTAACTTTAGTTTCAAGTTTTACTTTTGAAAATTGTATAATTGACTAATTATAGGAATTATTTAGTAAATATAATATTTTACAATTTTAGATATTTGGTTGAGAGGTCATCAACAATATCATGCCTAACTTGGATCGACCCTCCTTACACATGCTTATCGTGTCATTACTATTGTGTTCTTTATATATTTAGGCCTCGTTTGACATGCATTCTTTCAAAACTCATTTTCAACCACACATTTTTTAGTAAAATAATATTTTTCATCACATCAATAACTTTTCTTTACTTTGTAACCAAATATTTTTCATCATATCACTATTTAAAATACATTATTTTCTCAATAATATCCATCAAATACCCCCTTAAGGTCACATTGATCTTCAACATTTATTTATGGAATATTTGCTGTAAAAGCTCCAAACTTTTAAAACATTAGTAAATTTTTCCCAAACCTTTGATTTGTTGCGACCGTCATCCCTAACCTTTCCATCCATTTTTTCGTCTGTTGACCAAGCAAATTGATTTTGACCAATTTTATAAAGGGAAAATGGTAATTTTGCATTTTATATTTTTCCAAATATTATTAACAATTAAACTAAAAACAAAAAAAAGATTGCCCCATCCCCACCTCCACCCCATCTTCACCTTCAACTCTGGCTAGCCACCGCTTAAACCGCCGGACATACATACCACTAGAAAGCCCTCATCATCCTCTACAACTTCCACCCAACACCCTGCCTCGAACCCACGTGAACTTGCCAGAAAATTGAGTCAAAACAGCCTGCTCAGGTCCTCAAAAACAGTTGAAATCTCCAATTCCGGCAACACCCATGTCATGCCCAACATTCCAAATAATTATACAGATCAAAGCGCCCTTGTCCATGGTCACCAATCATCCTTAAACATATAAAAACAAAACCAGCAAACTATATCTTCGAACACAGCCACTTCATGACTTTCAGATGGGTTTTCCAGCACCGTTGGTGCAACCCATGATCCCAGACAACCATCACAAGCACCTACTCTTCATGGTGCGTCCAATGAACATATAGGTCTTCCCCAATTTGACTTAAATGAATTTCAAATAGATACCCAATCCACTTCTTCAAATGAATTTTGCTTCACATTCATACATACCCAGTGCACTAAATAGATATTGGGTTTGATTGTGGTGGTGGTTGTGGTGGTGTCAGCACAGAGGAGGATGCCAGTCATGTGCCAGCGTTGGTTTTCTTTCTCTTTTCCTTTTTTAAAATTTTTATTCAATTATCATTTTTTAAATTATTTTAATAGATATTTATCATTTTGCCCCTTCTAATTGATTAAAAATATGGTCAAAATTAATTTTTTGGGTCAAATGACGGAAAAATGGATGGAAACCATCCAGAAGGGCCTCACATGCAATGATTAAAAAAGTTAGGGATGACGCAACAAATCAAATGTTTGGGGAAAGTCTGCTAATGTTTCAAAGGTTTGGGGCTTTTTCTGCAATTATCCCTTTATTTATTGACATTAAGTCCTGATCTTTCAAAAATAGGCACAAAATGCCTTGGCAGAAATATTTAAAAATATTGTTAAATTGATATGAAAAGAGGAAAGTACCCTAAACTCGAACAAACACAAAAATAAAAATAGATGTTTTGAAGCTCTATGAATGCATATATTTAAGTTGGCACTATATTATTTTTGATAGAGATGATTCCAACCAATAG